AGATAATTCGAAGCTGGTGATAAACGGATGCCAACATCGTGGCCCATCGTTGAAACGCCAGCTGCTCTGCGGTAAGTCCAGCAGGATACCAGCTCTGGTAATAAAATCCCTACCTAACAGGGTCCTANGTGATGATGACAAAATATTATGGATGTATACTAAAGTTCCAAAAAAATGTTTTTTTCACGAATTATTGTGGAATCGTTACATTTTTTCATAACAACAGATCATTGTTTTTGTTATAATATGATTATTTTCTTAATTTAGAGCCATACATAAAGATTATAAATTTTATTTCTATTTTTGATTAATATGTAACAAATTCTGATTCATATGGGCACAAAATATTTGAACGTCGATATCTTGAAAACTACTTTACAAAAACGAGTCCCTTATCCAAATATATGTTATTGGCTGTACCTATTTTCATATGAGTCTATGTTACAAACCTAAAATTGAATTTGAAATTTGTCCATATGAATCAGCCGAAGAATGCGATTTCGAAGAAGTGCCCTTAAGTGCTGCAATGCAATATTTATTGCAGTGCAGCCATATGTGCAAGCCATATCTCTACCTTTTATTAAACTAAATTCGCGAAGAAAATTACGGAATTACGGCTCTATCTTACATACTTACATCCTATACCTACACATATTTTACATAGAGTTCAAATCTCCTTAGTAACATAACTATTTATTTACTCCGGCAACTGAGCTTGGCTTAAAAGAATTAACGGATTATCTTATCAAATGAGTCTCATAAACCGATCACAGCAGGGATGAAGCCGGTATTGTTATTTCCTACTACATATTTATCACAAACATTATACTCCCATTAAGAAATTATTCTCATGCTCAAGTTACATGCATGCATACCGTTGCTTTCTGCTGATGATGTTAGCGAACAAATAACTTATATAACTTATACGATTCGTAATTATCTTAATATTTTTCTTATAGTTTTCTTAAAAAAATATTTTAATTGATCAAGTTTATTAGGTCAATACCCTCGACGTAGATCCTTTGCAATTAGCTTCTGAAAACAGCTGCCTCAAAAATGTAATCTTATGATCGAGCAAAAACTTGTCTCCAGCGCGAAGGAGTTGGAAAGTTGCCCCAAGACGATGGCCAAAAACGGACACATGGGGCCATATCGAAGGCTCTTTTAGGGCACTGAGCCACTCCGCAGCGGACTGCAATTCTTATTTGATTGCCGAACGGGACACAGACTTTTTGTCGGACGCAGGCAGTTTTGTGAATCTTAAATATTTAACCATCATTCTTGGAATGAGTCAATTTAACAAAAACAAACCGCGCCTTTTGGAGCGATTGTTTGAAAAAAGATAAGATTGTCGTTCAAAAGCGGCCTTATCGAGACCGAATCGGTGTGAAGAATCGGAAATAAAGGTGTGTGGGTGAGAGCACTTTGCCTGTCTCTAACTTAAACAAGGTCGTTGGCCATATGGCCTGCTAGACAACGCCGGCTAGCTACCGTCAGCACGCGAACCTGTGCTCAAAATCAAACAAACAACTACGCGGACACTATTTCAACATTAATAACCTTTTACAATTCTAATCCGACCTTCATGGAAACGAAATGTACCCATGTATTTAGTTACATGATCTAAAAAATAGTAGTCAATTATCTCGTAGCGGAAAATTGGCTTAGTACTCAAAATGTACCATACAAATCAGCAGATCACCTTGGTTACTTCCTGGCGAAACAAAAAGCTTTTTAAACCTGGCCTTCTTCACATGGTCATAGATTAATGGATGCCTAGGTGTTAATCACAAAAAAAACTGCGATTAATCTTCCGCTTAATCAATCTTAAAAATAACGTCAGATATTTAAATTGTATGAATGCAAATTCGATTCGTAATCGTACCCCAAACCTCTCGATATCTCCAAAGAAAGCCGATGCAAAGTCGAGGGATGACGTAAGGCGCGGCAGGTTCTGCGTTAACGTTAAGTTACATAGCGAAGTAAACAAGAAACGAGTTTGTTCGCGAGGACGTGGCCGGTGAGATCATCGCCGCCTATAGCTGAGGTCGGCTGCACCACTCCGCGTCACGTATCTTTCTAATTCGTGCCAATTTTGTTTACAATACCGGCTTTTACATAGGCTCTCACGCGAACACCATGGGAATGGCGTGCGATAAAAAACAAACGAACATCAAAACATTAAATCGGAACTGATTAAAATGCTTATGTTAATGTCTGTGTAGGCACTCAGACAGACACTAATTAAGAATACAATGAAATGATATTTTAGCGAGTCGTTGTCAAATGGAGAATAAGAATTTTACTTTTCATTTTTACTTCATTTGTTGTTAGCAGAATTTGAGCTAAATTAATTTGTATCAAGCCGGTTCACATCTCAAGGCAAACAGCACCAACATCCTGAGAAATGTAACTAAAATAAACCCGATTTAAATTTAAATGAAACAGCATGAATAAATTCTTCCAGACGAAAATATTGGTCAAGGCGATCATGACATAAATCGAATGCTGACTCAACTCTTCTTATATGGATTCATTATCCTTGCAAAAAATTAACCACGCACTTACTGTTATTATTATTGTTATTGGGCGTAAAATCTCTTTAATATTGAACATAAATAAGGCTCTATCTTTAGCTCTACCAACGCAACACATTAACCGTAATTTCGAAATCCAGTCTAAATCCTTTTGACTTCAACTAAACCTGTTCTTAGCGCGGAGGAGGCGGTGTCCTAAGCTTCTTCGACGGTCGTTAAATCTGAAATCATTTGCATTTTGATCGCAAAAACGAAGCACATAAACATTTTCGTATTTTGGGTTTACTTTTTGTGTTCAGGTTTGTAAGCACGCACATCTAAAGTGAATAGCTGGTACAAGACGCGTTGTGGTTTCGGCAGAATATACCTAACAGAGTAACCCCTATTTTTCACTAGGAGGTAAACATCCTCGAACCATCTCGCTAGCATGGGGAATGTTGGTAGAGCAAACCCTCCATATACCTATGGCAAATTCGAGAACATATCGTCCTGCTTTGGAGACTAAATCACCTGATGATGATGGTGAGGTACAAGATAAGCCATCATCACATCAGGTATATCAATTTGGTAGGTGTTCTAACGATAAAATAATAACCGACACGTAGGACGTCATAAGGTCAATTCAGTTCTGTCGAGAAATATTTTTCAATTGAGGATCTTGAGTGGGTGGTTAATATGGCTCGACTACTTTACTCGTTAGACTGATGCTATCGCTCATTCAGCGACGACGACATGTGATTGTCAATCTGCATTTACTTCGAGGCAAATTGAGGTGTTGCGGAAATGTGGCAACACTGGCAACTTGTCCTGACGATTGAAGGCAGGTTTTAACGTGACGTCAGCTTCGAACCCACACACTGTGACACACTTTATACAGGCACTTAGTTATAGTACGAGTAATTACAAAAAATAGAGATAACGAATTTCAGCAAAGATCATTCAACTTTATACATCTCGTATTCTTATTCAAATACTAGTGTATTTCCATCTTAAGAGCTCTACAATTCATTTGCAATTTAGATTGCAACTACGAGCTGGTTTTTATCATATTATTGCGTACATTTTATAGACCGAATCATAAAATAAACTTACTAATTCGAATCACCATAGCCACGATAGCCGAACGGAGGAGGGGTCGGAGTGGCCGACTCGAAAAAAAATAAAAAAAAACCATTGAAAAAAGATTTCACATAATTATATAAAAATGCCTTCAATCTGAATCGTTATAAGTCCCGCAAATACCCACCCGAGTGACCCGATATTTGCATACAATACTTGTCGTCCGTACGTGAACAAGTTCTCGCAGCCAAACTGGGAACTTTAATGTCTTGTATTATGATCAACGGCTTATAGATGGGTGTACACAATTCGGTAACTGTACCCAATAAAATAATTTATTTTGAGTGGGTACTGGCGTTATGTGGGCGGCAATATATTGCCTGTAAGCTCTACGAAGAACCGGTAGAAGTAGATAAGGTTTGTTTTCGCAAAGATATGGAACTAAGCTAAGCCTTTGAAATCACCTCCCTTAACGCTCTACATATGAAATGTATTCCTCAGAAATTGATAACTTAAAGGCTGTCGAAGAAAATTAAGTAGCTGCTGTCCTTTTGGCAGTAGAAAATATTCCGTGTGTATAAAGCAAAGAAGGCTATCGAACATGTCTAAATACGTGTCGGGAATGCCCAGGCAATAACAAAACTGCCAATCAAGTCACGTCTGATGACTTGTAGCAACAAAGGATTTGCCAGTGACATGCAAAGCACAATGATCCTTGCCATTTAAGGCAAGACGCGCGCTGACTTTCTATCATTGCAAAACATTTCTAAGCTAGACTAAATTAGACATGAAGTGACGATGGGCTAATACCTACCTATTGTGTTTTACGTTCGTCGACTGCTGAGATATTAAAACCTACCTCCACTATGATATTCTTGTTTCTTGTACAGTCACGGAATGAAAAGGTTCGTCAGTTTTCAAATTGATTCCTTCAATGAATCGCGAGCACATACCTACCTAGGTACTTACGTATTACCTTTTGAAACTATGTTACAGAATAATCTCGAGTTAGAGAAAATAATCTTTAACAGTTCGTCAGTAAAGTTCAAAATTATTCAGTAGGCCTAAGATGCGCGCATCGACAATGACATGATATGATAAGACAATTTTCGATCACGTAGATAATTTTATCATTTTCCCTAACATGGGACCATCGATAGAAAAGTCTATCGACCGCTATCGCGTGATAACCTAATTGTTGCCATATTAAGAAAAAATTGCGTTATTATGTTGGCCAACCTTGAAATATTTTAGCTCATTCGTTCAATCTCGTTCATTTCTGCTACTAATTCGGCTAAAAACACATATCTTAAAGCAGTGAGAACGTCATTAAAAAAAAGTTATGTCAATTTCGTTGACATTACATGACTTCTTGATTGTATTTGTTTGCGTTTTTAAAATTGTATTTTTATGTTTCCAGTCTTATTTTTAATATTTCTAAAGTACGGAAAATATCAAACGAAGAGATAACCAAGTTAAAGGAAAACAATGAAGAATTCCTAATCATACCGATAGTATTAAAGAATGAAGTCTTCAAAATTAACAGAATAACCGAACTCCACTACCTACCCCATAATGCGAGGTTTACAGTAATTATTCAACTTACATGAAGCAGTCAGAAAGTTTATTGAGATTTGAGAAATAAAGTTACACTCATAAGTAGCAAAGTAAGTACCTAAAGTCTAAAATATTAGCTATACTCCGCAGATCTTGATTTTCATAAGTAATAGCACCGGAGAAAAGGAAAAATATCTTTATTCCTACAAATAAGCTTTCACCTTCTTTCCTATATTTATTTCACATAGTTCTTTCACCGTGTAATAATACTGTGATCAATATTTTGTATGTAAACTTAAAATACAAATAGGATTAAGTAAATGTTTCTATTTATGAACTGTTTATGTAATTGTAATATTTATAATTGTGTTTAAATAATATTCTTTCTTTTTTCAGACAGTGGATGAAGAAGTGTGGGATTATGAGTGATTATTTCATTCTAAAGCAGACATAATCAAGTCTTGCTCACTATCATGAAAATTTACAATAACAATCAGCAAGAAAAACTTCAAGGGTACTGGCTAGGCTAACCAATTCATGGAATTCTGTTTGTATTTGAAATTATAAATAGCTATTGTAAAACAAAAGTTTTCCAAATAAAGATTTTGTAAATAATGGTTGAATTATTTTGAAATTACACTGCAATAATGAATTTATTGCCTGCGTCCAGCGCCTTTCTGCTACCATTATGATGTCGTCGGTCCACCTTGTGGGTGGACGTCCCACGCTGCGTATTCCGGTACCCGGCCTCCACCCCAGAACCTTGCTGCCCCATCGGGCAACATGGAAAGCATTGGGGGAGGCCTAAGTTCAGCAGTGGACGTCCTATGGCTGAGATGATGATGAATTTATTATAATGGAATAAATTGTACAAGATTATCATCCTGTCACATTAAAGCCCTTAAAAAAGACCACATGGAGGAATTAGATTGATAGTAATGTGGAATGTATGTATGGTATCACCATCAAGTTATAAAATTAGTAAAATTCATTTATTCTCATTGTTATTATAGCAAGTTTGATTACACATCCCACCCAATGCTAATTTCTGACAATGACCTTGCCACTGTTTGATGTAGACACAAGAAGCTCGGTCACCACATTCCGCCCCATTTTCAATAATTTTACAAGATTATGTACAGATGACAGTAGGTACTTAAATCAAGCTAAACACTGTGGGGTATCTCACGACATTTGCAACTTAATATGTATTGTCTGATGTACTGTTGACTGCCTACCTAAGTAGGTAAGTAATGGTTATTTTACAAGGTAGGTAATGTAATAATTAATATGTGGGTGGGACTGTGGGAGCACTAAGATTTTGCAGCTAGCGATTATAAACTGTCGCAAGATTCGCCTCACACTGATAAACTCTTGAACTAGAACTCAATCTCCACCTAGAAGTAAAAGTATCACAAAGGTGCTAGATTCCTTTCTTTGAATTTTACTAGCCTCAAATTAGTCGTAAAATGTCATTTACCATTATAAATGATAAATAAATAGAGTTAAAGTAGCTTGCAAAAAAGTTAATCTCCTATCGTCTTGCTATCGTGGGCAAGGATCGAGGACGATAAAAACACCACATCCTATCCTATCGTGATGTCAAAATATGATATAGTTAGCGCTTCATGTTAGGGCTTGCCAGGTTTATCACAAAAAAAAAAACAAATCTATCACTATCACATTTTGACAGATGACATGATAATTTTCGGGGTGCCATGTTAGCGCAGGCAGATAAAACGATATAGTGACGTCAAAATCGATATAACGCCGCGATAGCAGTTTATCACGGCGCGCATCTTAGCCCTGCAGATCAAAGTTGTTTGACGATTTATCTTGTCAAGAAGATTAATATGATTGATAAACTAAAACCTTCTTGTTGGTTCCACCTGCCATTATTATTTCTATTAAATAAAAAAACTATTGTCAATTGGTCAATGTCATCATTGCATTGCACTGATGGGATAGAAAAATAAACAAACAAAACCTTATTCGTTAGCAAACGTCATATTTATTTAAATGTTAGCAGCACTGTTTCTTGCACGGTTATGTTGGCAGGTTTGACTCTTACAGTACCTAGTGCAAGCGAAAACCGACACTAAGGTGACGAACCTTTTCATTCCGCGACTGTACATAAGTGATTGGATTAACTAAACTACCAAAGTGACCATTTTGAAGACAGAGTCCCAGCTCTAGGTTCGCGTGGCCAAAATGGGTTGCCAAACCAGTTATGCCACAAGGAAACTTAATTCCTCGTTAAATGTTACATTTGTTTTCAAATCACTTAAGGACTTAGACCATAAAAACATTATTCCTGGCAGCTAAACTCTTATTTAACTATACTGTGACAAATTCCAAAGTTACCAAATTGTTTGACGAAGCTGTTTGCTAGGGTATCATGTGATGGCCATAGTATTAGTGATGCCTACATCATAGATCATAACATTTATTTTATAGTCACGTTGTGAGAGGCAAATAGTCAATAGAATAAGTCAATCGTGACGAGACTCTATTTACGAGACAGATTCTAGGAAGCTACGCTACGTTTATTATCAGACGAACTCTAGCTGATATTTTCGTGCTACTGTATACGATAGCAAATTGATTTGATTTAGTACCCTGCGACAAGTTAATTTAACAATTTTGAGTGTATCAAATCATAAACAACTTTTATTTTATTAAATCGTTCTAAGTCCTATCAGAAACAATTTGAAAAACAATAAACAACTGTAGTATGAAATTAGTCTTAAAGGTACTTTACAAAATACGTGAGGTAAATTAGGTCAAACATTTTAAGGTCATGCGCCATTTAAATATTATTATACCTACTTGTACCGCTGAATTTCAAAAATAACTCTGATGTAAGTTAAACTCAAGGCGACGATGCATCTTATTAAACAACGGCGACACCTATAAACATCCTGATAAAGTCTGCGACTCGATTGATAATACGACTTTGCTGACCTTACGGTATAATGTCCAAATGATCATGTCAGAGTTATTTACAAACTTTGATATGAATAATTACGGATAAACTAGTTATAGAGTTCTATCTCTTCACTTGGTACAAAGCAACATCTGTCTGTAAGGTAGGCACCGAACTAAGGCTGGGTTGCACCATCTTACTTTAACTTTGATAAACGTCAAAAATCTTTCAAACTCCGTACAAAAAGCCCCGGTTATCGTTATAGTTACCGTCAAAGTTAGGTGTTGCAACTCAGCCTAAGAGTCTATGTTTTATCTAGAATCTAAACCTTGACCTAAATATCATTGCGAAGTAGCGAATGTAGTCTATTCGCTACATTATCTGCATTCATATCTAACTTCTCGTATTTGTAGCTTGGGAGCTCTAGAAACTGCTAACAGCATTTTCCTCTTCTGTTCTAAAAACTGTACTTCAACACGACTCTCCCATTTTTCCACCAACAAAATGGTAGGAAATATCTTGAACTCTACATTGTGGTCTTCATTCTCTCCTATTTTTTCGGTATAAACTGGGTGGTGTCACCATAATGACTTGTGCCTATTTGACATTGCGTAATCTACCGCATGCCATAGCAGCGGGTACAAAGCCCTTTCTGCAACAACTGCCACGCTGCAGCCCATAACAAAACTCTCTGTCATGCCTCGTGAGCAGCACGTGTTCACTGACCATCGGCCATTGTGACTCTTGCGCACAATGACATCTCTTTCCCACTAAGCATTTTGGTCAAATGTTAGAAAGAGTCTAGAAAATAGGTCATCCATTCTATACGAAAATGCCCTACTCTAGTCTCTCATATTGTCTCAGTAAGCTGAATAGTAGCTAAACGGAAACCTACCTGCATTGAAGAACAGTAAACTCTCTTGATAACTCTTCAAATGGTTCAAAGAAAGTTAATACCACTGAACGTACTCGGATTATAATCTCTAAGCATTTTCCTCGAGTGGTTTAAATTTATTGTAATAAGCTGACACCCTACCTTGTTTAAATTTAAAGGAGATTAACTGAACCTGCGTAGGTCTAAATATTCGATACTTTATCGCCTTCGTAACGATTACCATGCCTGGTAGCCCATCATGCGGCAAATGGTGGAACGCCCACGGATAGTGGCACTAGAATTAGAGTTAACCAACCGAACCAATCAAATAATTAACTAACAGGAGTAACAACATAATCCAACTCATTTTACAACATTTCATAAAAGTGCAATAACCGAATTCAATGCTGTGTATGTTTCATTAATCGATAATTTTTTGATTAACCTGCTGTACCAGTCCGGTTCTGGGGCTGCCACCTCAGAGCTTCTGGACTCTCGGTTTTTTCCGGGTATCATCCCTAGTGATGTCAATAACAAAATGGTTAATGGATTTTAAAGTACAGTGGCGTCACACTAAAGCTGTGACATTTGTAATCTGTGAAAGCTGTAATAGGTGCTACTTCGCAACAAAAATTTAGTAGCCTGATGTACTGCCTACTTACTATAACAAATATTTGATGTAATAACAATAAATCAACATGTGCAAGGACGGGTGACAGCACAGGTGCATCATCAGCTCACCCCACTTTCAACTCCCCTCATCATTATGGTCACTTTATGCCGCAAATTATTATGTAATTACATGATAACAATATGACTCTCACACTGGGGTTGTGTACTTAACAATGACACTGTTTTGTAAGTTATAATAATACAGGTACCAAATGTGTCAAGCCAATTCAGCAAAAGTCTGCACTTTGGCAAAATTTTAGCACATCTGAACTGCTTTCCTAAGTCAACTGACTGAAGAATTACATATTGATAAGTAACTGGTTAAAATGCGCAAGTTTAACTAATTCTAGTCTAGTCTCTCACTTAATCAGTCCAATCAATAACACTATAGAGTGAACAACATTTTCATTCAGTGATAAACGTGACCTGAATTTCCTTTCAGCCTTACATTTACTTTGTGAACCTGTAAGGCGATCTTGTTGTCAAGCAGAATTTAAATTATGGTGGACTATAAATAAATTACTAGTCACCCATTAGAAACCTAACTTCTACCGTTAAATTACCTACCAAGAGGTTGTCATGTAAATTATTATATCCAATCAATATGTGCTCTACATAAAATGGTGGGTTGTTTTCAATACCAGTACATCTAGGACACGTCTTTGACTACGGAAAGTTTGTGATTGAGGTTAAATAGTTACTCCACATAAAGCTAGGCTTTCTCTAATTACATTTGAATAGGAACTTCCCGATCAACGCCAAACGTGGAGCGACTCTACCAAATTAGGCGAAGCCGTGATTGCGTGACATGAAGACAAATGAACATCCATTTGATGTGTTTAACAATGGGATTAATTTTCTGACGAATTATTTGATATCTAGGTTAAATTCGGGCCGAAAAAACATGTATGTGTGAAAAAGGTTTTCAGAAAGCCCAGGTCTGAAAAATCGTAGTATAAATAGGGAGGATATAATATAATAAACCATAACTTAAACCTGTTTACGAGCGTACTTTATGTCTACCGTGTAATGGCTCCGATAAACGTGCATGCAACGAGTATTGCTCTAATGATCGTTCGTACAAATACACTTTATCTCGCAATGCCGCTGTCACACGTGACCGGTGCGAAATGACGCGTGCGCAGCGTTCGCCTTTTGTTTTGTGCGCGGAGATAGATCTGCGTACGACTCATGATCGAAATAGGCGATGAACTAATTAAGTAAGTACTCGGATATCAATCACAAGCAAGCAATTGCGAATCGATATCCAATATCCATTTAAAAATTACATTGAAAACTACAATATACACAATGAATGAAGATCTAATTCGAAGATTGTACAAAAGCGGCTAATTTAATAGAGCATCATTAACAGTATCGATTTATGCACAATAATTTTATTGAAATATTTCACGGTTTATTTTTCAGCAACAGAATTTGCATGGAAAAACTCTTGCAAAACACAAACTTTCAAAATGTAGAAAAACCTATCAACAAACGAATACATTTCTGGTAAAGGCACCCTACTCGTCTCTGACTAACTCGTCCTACTCAATATCTGACATCACCTAGCTCTAAGAATGCACTTTGATGTTCCCACCACCCGTATGCGCATGTATTAATTTTTATGTAGAGTTAACGTAATTCCAAGTAAATGCACATAGAGTAAGGACAGCGGAAGGTCGCGGTTTGCGGAACTAATTGCTATTGCTAAGCGGCTTGAATATTTTTATCGAGTGTATTTAAATACTTACTGAATTGATGCTTACTTACGAGTAATAAGGTTTTATGGAAACTCAATATCCGTTAAATAAAAAACAATTGAAGAACTTTGGTAAAAGATTGCAAACTCTACGTACATACAAATCTAGTAAGATGATGAATTAAGTAAACTCTTCTTCTTACTAATATAATACCCGTTGCATTAATAG